TCATAGTTACTACGGGAAGAGAAAGTCCTGCATAAAACACAATTTTTAATGCGCAATGCCTTGGTTATTGAATGTGAAAGATACAGACAATCCTGGACAAAACCATCTGCGACACTCTATTAAAACATTCCTTTGTGGCTTTTTTTACCAGTTAGACCGGAATAATTTACTCGGTTGCCCCCCTCCGCCCCCCAAAACAATGTTGGACGTTTTATCCGTATTCTACGAATCCAATCAACATTGAATGGTGGGGGAAAGGGGGAGGTTTTCTAAATTTACGATAACATTACAATATTTTGTCAAGTATAATTGGAAGTGTCGCAGATGTTTTGTCCAGGATTGTAGTTGTACCTCTAGTTATAGTCACACCAATCATTAAATCGTTTAAGCTATACTTATCTTTCATAGCATCCCAATTGATTCTCTGATGTTTCTTTCTAACTCTCATCACAAAATCATCGATTCCTTCGTGTTCGTCTTGCTTTATATCCATCGCTTGTGATATTAAGAAAACCAGCGGCTCATCTCGCAATAGATCTTGCTTAAGTTTGTTTACTAAATCAGCTTAATCAGTCCCTGTATCACTCAATGTGCCAACTTTGTTTCTTACTTCAGCTCCTGCAACAGCCAACAGTGCTTTATGCTTTTTAACTCCATCATCTTTCTCTGGCCAGTCTATTAGCTCGAATTTCGCTTCAACATCCTCTAGCCATTCAAGAAATCTAGGACCTCTATCTTCTGCCGGCAACCATTGGAAAGGACTTATCCAATTTGCCGTAAATAAACTCTCCATGCATGCGGATCCTCATCGCCAAATGTAGTATTGTAAAAGAAGCCTTTATTATTGCATAAGTCTAGCTTATATACGATTAGTAATTAACATATTTACAAAGGATTAACATACATATTATGCTAATATACTACAATTAACAAGGTCAAAGGTGGGTCAAGGTTTTATCGAAAGCGATTGACTGTTAGATTTCCTTTACAATTTAGCTTTATTGTAACTTTTTAAAGGTATAAAAACCTGTGGAAACGGCAAATTACTATAATAGATTGAAAATGATTATTTATCATTTTGACGTTTGAGTGATTGAAATGAGTTAACTTCACTACATCGAATGTCGTGTTCATTGTCATGTTGAACTGTATGCGTACTTCACAATGGTTGCTACTTTGTTGTATTAAATTTCAATAGTTTTAGCCTACTATTTATAATTCAAATTTTGTTTGATATTTATCCATGTTATTTACAAAATGTGCTGTAGTTTTGAAGCTTTGTGTACAATATAATCAGCGCAAGCACAATGACCCCGTGTCAGTTTGAGTATATAAAAATTGAGTATTTTGATAGCGTTGGGCTTGATATATATAAAATATAAACGCCTCAGTGAATATTAATCTGCAGTGCGAGCACAACGGCTCCAAAAAATCACAACAAATAACGGAATATAAGGTAAGTTAAAAACAGTAAAGCTTTACCTACCTCGATTTAATTTTTCTAAGGCACTCAATTATGTAAATTTTCGGCGAACTCGACGAAAACCAGCATGAAAAGCTCGTCGGAAAATCTCTGTATTTGTCATATTATACGAATCTGCCACATGACTGGTATGCTCACTGCCACCGCAAAGAAAAATGATGATCAAAGAATTACATCTGTGCTTTCCGTAGTTACTAAAACAAGGAATGACCTAAAACAACCTAAAACGACCTAAAACCATTTAACACGACCTAAAACCATTTAACACGACCTAAAACCATCTAAAACAATCTACAACGACCAGTAAAATCTAAAACCATCTAAAACGACCTAAAACCATCTAAAACCATCTAAAACGACCTAAAACGATCTAAAACGATCTAAAACAGTAAAACACGCATGGTAAAACTAACAAGAAAATTGTGAAATGGATTTTAATTGTCACCTATGGCTTGTGACAGGGGTCTTACTTTGCATTGCCTGAGTTATTGGGCAATTACTGTACACTAGCTGGATATTTTAAAAACAAAGATGATTACCTGGGCTTGCTCGCCTACCATAGTTGAGTGTTTATATGCTTTGTCTGTGCAAATATAAGCTGTATATGTCATATGACATTCTGACAGATTTTAATCTTAAAATCAATGATAAAATGATGGACGTTATAAACACTGTAACTGGTGTATAATATACAGGTTAGAATTATCAAATTTGCTCACAAAAGTGGGATAGTTTGGAAAATATATTTAAGTAAGTTATATACTTGTAGTACTAATTATCCCAGTATTATGTTTTGGATAGTCAGCATGACTTGCAGCTAGCGAAAGGAATCCAGTCCAGACTGTGATTGGTCAATATTGCCATTGGATCTCATCGGAAAAGTCAACATCGATCGGTATCAGATAATCTTCATAATGTCTGGTACTTTTGTTTCACACATTTTGCTGTATCTGTTTTTAGTTAAATTTCGCAGGAAACGCAAATGAGAGTTTGTGAACAGTATCGACCTTTTACAATCTATTTCACAGGCTCAGAGCTGGCTGGGTTTTTTCTTTCCTTCAGAAATACACAGGTAGGAATACATTTCTTATTTAAGTACACATATATACACTCGCGGAATGATAATTTCATGAGAAATATGTAATATTGTTGATCGTATATTCTATTTGCTTCTGTTTGTTTTACTCTGGGTGCGTTGATAAAATATTGCACCAATTCATTTCCCGAAGTTGATAAAAATTCATGTGAATTCAAATTTCTTTTTACTTCCTGTGCTTTTCCTATTGGTCAGTTGGTTCTGAAACGAAATCTAATTGGCTCATCTAGAAGTAACAGGAAGTTGATCAATTTTCTATCAAATGAATTGATCAACTTGAGGAATGGGGGGGGGTGTGAACAGGGGGTATACAAATCCGCTGATCCACCCAAATTTGAAGCAAAATCCGTGATCCGACAATGGTCTTGTCTAAATTTGAATCCACTAAAAGCTCTACTATGAAGTCACAATCCGAACTAAATTGCAAGCTAAATCCACAATCCGAGCCAAAATATTAGATAAATCCACAATCCACTGTATTAATAAGATCTGCAAATCCGTGTAAAAAATTTCGCCAGATCCAAAATCCGAACAATTTTTTCTGTGAAATCTGATGATCCCGAAAACCTATCCCCCCCCCCCCCCCCCCCCGGGAAAGGAATTGATGCAATATTTTATCAACACTTCTATTGCATCGACACTAAATTATATGTTAATAGTTAATTTACCGCACAAAATATTTTTTGCAAAATATTATTCATAAAATTTACAATCATTAAAAAATAGTACTACAATTAAATATTAGTAAAATATTATTTATTGGTGTGTCATTTTTAAGGTGTGACAGAACAATAATTAGAACTTTTTGTAAATTTTAGTATTGCAAAATAAAAGGGAAGTTGCTCGCTGCAGCAGATTATTTTAATCATCAAGAATGGATAAGGTAAATAAATTAATAGTTATTTCACACCGTACCAGAAAAAAATTGCCTAAAGCTGCGGGTTTTATGGCCGTCGGGGTTGAGACACAGGCAGCCTCGCCTCCCAAATTTTCCATTGCCAGCACGTCTTAAGCCAATGGAACTGATTTCTTTTGTTTTCGGTTTTAAATTATTAATGAGTTTTGGAATTTCAGATCCAATTCGCCTAGCACTCAATCAAATAGTCGTGACAAATCTCACTCTTCTGCAAGCATTCCACATGCGATATCCTTCAATTGTGCAGCCAAAAAAGTCAATTTAATACACAAGCAAAATGACGCGATAAACGTAGAAGACATATCCGCCACAAGTGGGATGCTGCCAAAGTCATATCTTAACCCATTAAGCGCCAGCGCTCTCCCCTTGACGAGTAAAATCATCTGGCATTAGACAGAGAAATACTAAAGTGGGGTGCATCAGGGTGCAATGTGACTCAATGGGTTAATGCGTGGAAAAAGGAGATAGAAGAGTTTCAGAAAAGCAACTCTGGACAAGCTGCATATATTGATTGCAACCTCAAAAAAACAAACAAAATATGATTACCAGACTGTTAATCAGTTACTAAAAATTCACAAGGCCTTAGATTTACGCAAAGAGGTGCAACAGGAACTGGATTGGCCCTGCTGATGTCAAAACTCGTCCACAGCTACAAGGAATCGAGCAATTCCAAAATTTGCTTTATTCATCTTGCTTTGATGCAATTCTTCCGCACTACTGTATGGCAGCAAAAGAGTTGTCCAAGCTATGCTGCACAAGATGGTTGTCTTGCGATCACGTATGTTGGATGCTGGACAAGCTTAATAAAGCTCAAGAAGAGATTGTCTGTGAATTTCGTGATGGATATTAACCGTTTCATTGCCAGAAGGATTACACCGTGACAACAAAAACCTTCCATTTGCATTTTTGTACTAAACGTCGGAAAGGACCAATTAGATGGAAGCGTGTACCTGGGAAGTGACGCTCAACCAGGGAATCACTGGACAAAATGCCATGTTGACATGCATAAGAAGGTCATCACTTATGGCGATTCATTGGCTTGGCCAAGTCCAAAACATCTACTTGGGAAAATTGAGCAGTACGTACGAGGCACGCATACTATGTATGAGGAAATTTTCTCATATTCCTTTGTGTATGCTCACAAGCCGTCATCGGTAGGTCCAAATGGTCGCCTGAGTGATTCGCCGTGTGTTTCGCTTTATCCACTTCAACGGTGTGCAAGCGTATGTGGTGTTGTCGTTCTCGTCATGGCCACCATTGCTTCTCTAACACCTGGGTTCTTCAGTTAGTTAACAGAACGCAATATCTCTGCAGGATTACGACGAACCAATCCAACGTTCTTGAAGGATGCCTCCAAGTATTCTAAATACTTACGCTTAGTATTGATGTTTTGGTTCTCGGGATCTTTGGAATCTGTACCTACTCAATCATCTATCTGGGAGCGCATAGACAAGATGAATTTTGTAGATGACGATTCAAACAAGCAAAGGGTGCCACGTGACGACCCAACAAAGCAACACAAAGTTTCGAACAAACAACATAATGTATCCACCAAGCAACGTGACAACCCAATTCAGCAACATCACAAGCCAAGTGTGCAACGTGACACTACAATCCTTGAACCTGAAAAAAAAGGGGTATATATGTAACAATTAAAGGACACAACAAAAAGCCTAATCATAACAACGTTAGTGCTTCTCTTCAAGGTAAAAAAACAACTGGAATGCAGAAGGGCGTGAAAATATTTGAATGCCCGCCCTGTGATTTAACCTGTGCAGACAAGCCTAATCTGAAATGTCACATTAAACAAAAGCACCAAAACAAACAAGAGGAACTAAAAGGCAAAGTGAAATCAGATGTTGCAGATTCCATTTCATTTGTAGGAAGTGTCTGTATCATGAGAATGGGTGTGCTTATAGCTGTCATCGAATTGTAGAGCTACATAACCATTTGTCGCAATTCCACAATGTGATATTCCGGACTGAGGATATTACCCTTACGAAAAAATCCTATAGGATCCTATAGGAATTCCTATAGGAATATCCATTTCCTATAGGAATTCCTATAGGATCCTATAGGAATAGAATTCCTATAGGAATTTCCTATGGGAATTCCTATAGGATCCTATAGGAATAGAATTCCTATAGGAATTTCCTATAGGAATTCCTTATAGGAATAGAATTCCTATAGGAATTTCCTATAGGAATTCGTATAGGATCCCATAGGAATAGATTTCCTATAGGAATTTCCTATAGGAATTTCCCATAGGAAAATAAATTTTCTAATAAATAAATTAATTTTTGAATTTCCTATAGGAATTCGTATAGGATGTTATATAGAATCCTATTGCTGTTATTATATGTTTTTACTCTGGGTTTTTTTTTTATAGCAAAATACAAAACAAGTGTAACTCCAAAGATCGATATTGACCTACATTGATATATATCGTCAGTTGATCTTTGGAGTTGCACTTGTTTTGTATTTTGCTAAAATACTCAGTGGTTGTTTTTAGTATCAATGTGTTTATCTGGCTAGGATTTCTATAATTCCTGATGGTCCCTTCAATGCAAGCATTCCTATTGGAATTTTATCCCTATAAGAATATAAGATACAGCCAATAGTTCGCGCTTCAACTGAACGCCCTGGTCACAGAATAAGGCACACAGAAGGGCCACTTACGTTGGAAGCTTTGAAGTTTTTGTCACCCTGGTCGCCATCTTCCTAGCCAGTCAATTACATTTTCTGGCCAATAAACGCGCTGTATTGGCTGGAGGCCCCGCCTTCTGGCCAGTCAATTGCACATTTTTGCATAGAAAAATGGTGACACGTTGCACCGCTGAGTGGCCCTTCTGATACTGATCTTTATTCTGTGCCCTGGTGACTAGTTTACGTTTCAGAGCGCAAAGCTTCATGGGGTAGCATCGTTTTATTTGTGATAAAAGATATTTGGTGTCTTATAATATTGTGCTTGGAATATTTCGTTGATATTTTTAACCCAAACGGTGGAAAAGGAATCGGAAAGTTCTTAACATGTTATTCAGATGTCACAGGTAAGAATACTTTTGTATTTGACTTATTATTTAAGCACTTTAATTGCAAAATAATGTGGTGAATATGATTGTTAACTTGAGCCGTGTGGGGCATGTGTCTTAAAATTCTGTTGAATGTTTGAATTTGCCACGTCAATTTGCATATAAAACATACAAAATGCTGGTTTCTGGCAGTAAAGAACGAATGGAATATAGATTCGAACCTATTATTGTGAATTCTATACTAAATTTCACACTATTATTTATAATTTAGCAATATTTTCTTTGGCATAATTTGGCACTTTGCTTAAGAGTTAAGACTATTGTCAAGCTGGGTAAATAATTATATGAAATATATATTAAACAATAAGGATTGGAATCAGAGAGGAACGACAGCATTTAATGTGCTATTCTTAGTGTATCGATAATCAATCTTTAATGTGCTCAAGTGTCCTCTACTGTATTTGCATTACTCTGTCTAAATTGCCAGATGATTTTACTTGTCAAGGGAAGAGTCTTTATAAAGAGCTTCACTTGTATAAAGTGATGTTCGCAATGATAGTGCTGAGACAGTGCCTCAAATGTTGTCTTTGTATATTTCAAGATTAATATTCGAGCTGGGCAGTGCTTGCATGTAGCCCTGGCCAAATATTGTTCTCAACAATCAGCAAATACAGGGTGTATAAAAAAAAACGCAATCCTCGACTGAAATGTAAATTGCTAAACAAATAATAGACGAAAACGTTAAAGTTTACATTCATTTTAAAGTGTAGCCATTCAGCTTTCTAACAGTGGGTTGTTTCTTAAATTTGACTCATTGGTTCGCGGGTAATAATACTTTACGTTATTGCGATTGGAGATTAAAAAAATTGAGATTGAATAACAAATCGTTCTCATGAAAATAATTGATTTTTTCATTAAAACAAACAAATGTTGCATTTTATTAAATGGATTGTAACAATAAGTATAATTACGGCTTTTCTTCCACTATTTTTAACACAGTTTGAAACTTCAAATGCGATATAATTTTGGCTCGGACCATCTAAGCTGACTGACATCAGCTTGCTATAATTTCTGTTTACATTACATCGCAATTCGATGACACTCTGGCTCAGACACCAGAATGTTTTGATTCTATGATTTTTAGCGTTCGTTTGGGATTTTCAAACAACCTGGTCTCTTTTAAAATACTTTTAATTTGTTCTTACATGGTTTTCTAGATGTAGTGACGACAACATTAAAGTTTAAAGAAGAAAATTCTAACATTTAAACCGACTAAACAATAACATAGTAGACTTGCATAATTAAACAGCAACTAAAAATGATAGGTTTTACTAAATCTTTTCCTGTGCAATCATTACTAGTATTGGAGACAAGGATAATAGTTTGTTTGAAAGAGAAAAGAACAGGCTTTGAAGTAAGCCTAAATGCGTTTAACTAGAAATAGTATTTCGAAAGTTATTAAGCACAAAAGATGAATTGTGTTTATTTTGATACACCCTGTATATCCAGATTCACTAACAATAGTCCATAGTTTATTTAATATGTGCTTTATCACTTTATATAGAAGCATAAATATATGTGGCACGGCATTGATAGTTTTGGATGGCCTATATTTTGCCGGATGCCAGTAACCCAATCCAGCATATCCCTACTCTCTGCCCACGGCCATGTCTCTGCTTAACATACTATACATACTATACATATTATAACTTGAAAGATATTATTTGCACTTCACTTGGTTGGACTAGAATACTGGGTTTGGTGGATAATCCAATATATATAATTATATATATAGACACTATTTAATTAAGACCTATTACCAGGAACGATTGCGAAAAATGTCACACTAAATCATTGACCAGGAATTGAACCTACAGCCATGTGCTTCTGGGGCAGAGCTCGAACCAACTGAGGTCCGGAATCGCAGGGCCATATTACTGCCAGAGGACTTAGTTTTCACTTGGATTATTCACCAAACCCAGTATACATATTACACCCTGCATTACCTTGTATCAATATGAACAGTCTTTGTAATTCATGGTGATTATGACAATAAACTATGGAAATTATCTTATATATATAGGATAAGTCTTATTATTATTTATTTAAAAAATTTCTGGTTTCTGATTGGCTAACAGCAACTGTGAAATTGTCATATCAACTCAATGGCTAACCAAATATGGATTTTTCATATTAGCAAAATGACGTCAAAGAGTCAATATGAAAAAATAACCTCAGCCTTTGGCTTCGGTTGATAACAGCAAACTTTGGGCTTGATAATTCTTCATATCGTGCTCAACCTCATTCAATAATTGTTAAATAATACTTAAAAACTGTTTTTACATCAAGAGTTAATAGTCCCTTATAACTGACTGAGGAGTGTCTCAGTTTAGGAAGCAAGTCTCCTGGTCCATTGTTCTAGTTTTTGTATAGGTGCTTGGAGAAATCTATGGACTTAAACAAATGGTTTGTTAGATCATAATCTTGATTGTGAAGTGGAAAGTGTTACTAATACGGCTTTGTGAGAAACTGTATTCGCCACAACACATTGCTGTGCAATCAGAACTAAACATAGTTGTGTATAGGAATGAGTTTCAATATTGTGCGAGCCAGGGTGCGAGCCATGTGAGCCAGAGTGCGAGCCAAGGTGCGAGCCATGCGAATCGTATTTAAAACAAGACGCCTACTCAGGCGTTCACTCCGGGTACAGGGTCTTAACTAACGGCGCAAAGCTACTTTAACGTACTATGCTTATATACGGCAATGAAGGTATCTTTAATGCATGATATTCAGTAGCATATTAAAAGTTGGAAAAGTGGGAGAACTACAGTGTACCACGTGACCAGGTGACTAAAAACATATGCAATGATCATAATATTTTATAACATAAAAATAAAAGGACATTGTGACACTGATTATCTCTAATAAAAGCTATCTAGTTCTTTATTAAAAGTTCTATTTAAAACATGCGTAGGAGTGTTTTTTCGAGTCATATATAATAAGTCGGAGGCCGTATTTTACAAATATTTTAAGTTTTTTTTATTGTCGAGTGTAGAAATTCGAGGGTGAAAAGCTTGAGGGTACATGTTAATAATTTAACAAAATAATAATTTAAGTTCGTGTTCACTTATGTTACTTTTAATTTTTAGCTCTTATTTTTATATGCAATTATTAATTTTTTATATGCGATTACTTTTTATATGACAAAATATTATTACTACATAAAAATAGACATGCCGATCAAAAGCTACAGTCGTGATAGTTTCAAACGGCGTGGTGCATTATCTGCATCATCTCGGATTGCATGTCGCAAATTATTGTATCAGTCTATTCACTATATGGTCTATTGAATCAGAGTAATCAGGACTTGTTTACACCTTTCCATTGCCATACGCCTTTTCCGGGTTCGCAACGCCATCTTCAAAGTATTGTTTTCGCTATTGTGCTTGCCCCACTTGCAAATTTATCTATAGGGAATGCCCGCAAATTTCTACCCTCGACAATAAAAACCATAAAAATATTTTAGAAATACGACCCCGGACTTTTTATATATGACCCTCGACTTTATATGACCCTCGACTTTTTATATATGATTTTTCGACCCTCGCTTCCCACCCTCGACCCTCGAGAAGAACTCCTGAAACTGAATTACTAAAAATAGCTAACGTAAACAAACCACATTTATCAAACACGCAAAGAAAATTATTTAAAAAGTAATATATTGTTAGTCATGTCATATAGTTAATTGTCAACACTTTTTCAATGCATGGTAGTAAGTTCATAACTGGCACCATAACTCATAATTAAGTTATGTTGATATTTTGTTTATACAGATTGATTGTTTTAATTTGTAAGGCTTCTGACTTCTGTAAAGCCTAGTTTCCATTTGGTCGTTAGTTGTCGCTGGCACGACAAGTGGCTGATGTAATAGAGTGTCAACAAAACTTTATAAAACTCTGAAATCAT